TTGATGATTGTGTTCGGATGAAGTTTTGGGGTGTTTGTTGTGGATGATAATGGTACAATAGCTCTTTGTAGGATGTCCTTTCTCTAACCACTGGCATGAAATAGAAACAAAATCAGAAGGGGATATCGATGTAGTGTAACTTCAAAAACTATGAGGGTATCATCCATAATTGGTCTCAACCTTAAGGGATGTGATCAGTATATTCTGTGAATGTTGTGTTTAATGGTGGCCATGAGTATGACATGGGGCATTTTGTTTGCCATCAATTTCCAACTCATGAGCTGCAGCCTTGCATAGGTCACATGCATTATTATTAAATGGGTTGTTCTGTCATGGTGGGTAGGCAGTAGCATTAGTCACCATTTTGTAACCACATAAAAATATTAAATATATTTTTATGTAATTTAAGAAAAATTGACACTCCAGGCCTTTGACGTGGCAAGCTTTGAATGGCTTGCTTTTTTTTTTTTAACGAGCAATCTTTTCAAGACAGGATCACTCTGAATTAATTTTTTTAAGAGTAAACTCTGAATATTTATAATCACCTCTAAATCACACATATTGGTTAAATCCAAGATATACCAGTGACGGTTAAACCTCTGACGTTTGGGTATCGGTATGTTATTGCTGGCTTTGTTTGGTAAATTGGCAAAAAATGAGGAAAAATGTAGATGTGAGGATCTAAGGTTTCTATTATAGCCTAACATAAAATTAGGTGAGATAAATAAAATAAAATTAAAAAATAAATAAAGTGTCTAAGTCATGCATAATAGAACATGATTTACTAACAAATATACTTATTGATGACAAGGGTCTAAGTGTTACGCGCGTACAAATTTCAGGAGGTCTATATATAATATTTCAAATGTTGGGGAATTTAAGTAATTAAATGAAAAATTTCAAAGGGTCTGAATGTAATTCTCCTTAAAATTATTCAATAATAATATGTGCACCATCTTATCTACACTATCTGATGTAGCATAATCTTAATTTTTAAATATCCAATAAATTTAATAGAATTCACTAATTTAATGATTTATATTAAAGTGGTGTACAAAAATAGTATGTCTAGTATTGTTAAAAATTATTTATGCATATTCGTGAGTGTGTGTAGCTATAATACCGTTTATTTTTTTATCTGTAATATAAAATAGGACAAGTTTCAATAAGTTTATTTGACGGTTTCAAACCAATTTTTCTCAAAATCATTTACATTGAATCTTGTCTTCAAGCATAAGTTACCATAAGTTATATAATAGAGTAATGCTACATTAATTTAAAATTTAAACTTAAAAATTAGATTTGATAATCACAATCATTGAATAGGTAGTGAATTTTAATAAATACTTAGACCCATAATAAAATTAATAATTATGATTATTAAGTCTAATTTTTAATTTTATATAATATTATTAAATAAAATTAAAATTTTTCTTATTAATGATATCGATATTAATGATATTGACGATACGAAAGTGGCAGACGAGCATTAAAGCTTTCCTTTTATTTAACTTTTGTGTAGAAATGGACAAAGATGGGCTTCAATAAATAGCTGGAAAAAGATGGCCATTATTTTTCCGCTGGGAACACCAAATAATTCGAAATATATTATTGATGGCCCACATGAATCAAATCTAATAATATTCACGGAAGGTTGTGAGTGGTGGTGTGCGGAGCCACGTGGTGACCGCGGTGGGCACCCACTTTGTAACATTAATACAAGGGGAGGAAATAAGAAAAGAAAGAGAAATAGTGAGAGAAAATACGGCCATATAAATTAAGAGAGAGATAGAGAAAATCAAATCAACGATTATATCATCTTATACTGTCATCCTCGTCACCATCAATTTAAAACATTATAAATAAGTAAAGTGAATCGGCCTATTTTTATAATTATCGGTCACTGTCACATCCAATCAACAACATATAAGATTAATGAAATTTAATTAATTTATTTTTTATCTTTTAATTGAATGATGACACTATATGCTGATTATGACACGGTAACATGAATATTTTCTCCTCTATCTTAGGTTTGATTCATCTCTCTCCCTTATTTTTTTTTTCTCTCTCTTTCACTCTCTCCCTTTATTTTTTCTAACCATTACTTTCACGTGGTTGCCCCTGTTCACAACCCAAGAGACTAGGTGTATAAAATCTGAAGAAAAATCTCCAAATCTAATGGACACCTTCATCACCCGGCCTAAATTAAACAATCAAACCCATGGGTGAAGATAAGTCCAAAAGCTTGCATAAGTAGGGCTATTAATCGAACGAGCTTGAGTCGAGTTCGACCTGAGTTTGAAAATTTTATTTTTTAATCAAATTTTAAAAATTGTTCAAATTTGGCTTGTTTAAGAAACGAGCCGAGCTTGAACGAGCCGAACTCGAGCCGAGCCCGAGTATTTGCACATAAACGAGCCGAGCTTGTCAAGTTTGAGCCGAGATTCTAGGGCTTGTTATCTAAACGAGTCTAAAAACTTGTTCAAGTTTGGATTCGTTTAAAAAACGAACCAAGCCTGAACGAGTCGAACCCAAGCCAAGCTCGAGTAGCTCAGTTTAATAAATAGCCCTATGCACAAGACAGCACCAAAGGCCCAACAGATCTTCATTGAAAAATTTTCTTTCCGATTGTAGCACTTCAATCCAAATGAAAATTACACAAATCAGTTGGATTCTTCTCCAAAATTTTCTTTTCACTAATTAGTCTCTCTGAAAAAAATATTAAATTCCGGTTTTGAAAATTTTTATCCAAATCATTCTAATCACACTTCACTTTAACTTGCAATTAACAACGCAAATTCAAGATATGCACAGTGACCAACAAACAATGAACATTGGGTTAACCCAGTCATTTTTTGCATGAGTAGAACTTGAAATTTCGAGAAAGTAAGGACATGTTTGGTTTGTATTTTAAAAAATAATATCCGAAAATAGTTTTTGAGAAGAGTTTTAAGAAAGTGATTTTGATATTTTTTGAGATAAAAAATATGTTTGGTTAGATGATTTCAAAAACAATTTTACAATACAGAAAATAGTAAAACCTGTTTGGACAGCCTAAATATATATTTCAATAATAATTCAAATATTAATAAAAAAAATATAAAAAATTATTTTTATATCTGAACATTTAAAATTATTTTTCTTATTTCCAAAATTTTCAAAGAAAACTTTGGAAACAAGCTACATTTGTTTTCTATTTTTTTTTTGACTCAAATCTCATTTTTTTTCAAAATTTAAAAAATAAAAATACTAAACAAACAGGTTTTAGGTGTTTTCGAAATTTTGAGAACCAAAAACAGTTTCCGAAAACTAAACCAAATATGCCATAAGAGGCCTTCCCATCCGAACAACCCTGATTGGTTTTTTTCTGCAGTTTACTTCATCTTTTCTTTGCCACCCAGTTGAGGTTTAAGACATTCCAATACCAGTGCCTCTATCTTCTCAACTGCTCCGACGAATAAGACTTTAGAGAAAGCCCTTTCGCGAGCACGGTGTAATCGGAGTTGCGTCGATCTCCATTCTGCAGAGATTACACATTGGCATTGATGCAGATAACCAGTTGATCAGATTATCTCGTCCCATCGATGCCATACGATTCAATATCTGTTCACAAAATTAAAAATACAGTTAGAAGCAGCATTTGAGAATTTTAAAAAAAAAAATTGGACTAACAGCATTTTTGGTCGATAAAATATATATTTTTTTTATCAATTTAGTCTTTATTGTATCAATTTTATCACATTGACTTCTAAAGTATTTAATGTGTATCACTTTGGTCCCTAATTAGATAATCCGTCAAGTCTTTTCGACGAGCAATGCTATTTTGACAAAAAATATTGCCAACATTTGTTAACTCCCAACATTACTATCATTGTTTTAGCTATGGGTCTTCGCGTTAATAAGACTCACTATTTATTCAATAATTGTAATTGAGGGAGTCAGTAAAAGATGTCAATATTTTTTGTTCAAATAACATTTCTCTTTTTTGACAAAAGTGAACACTTGTCATTTTTTTAAACAGTATCACGTATCTAAAACATGATCATGCTGTTAAAATTTAATAATCTGTCTATGTAGGGATTAAAATGATACGAATTAAATATTTTAGGGATCAAGACTAAAATCACTAAAGAATCATTTAGTGTTTTCACCTGTGTAGCGTTTGAGCCAATTTCTACTGGTACAATGGCTAGTTCAGAAACTTGCATGGCTAGATTTCGACGAGGCCAACCATTCACTTGCGTATTTAATCTCATGAGTTAGCCTCCATCTGCCAAACTCATGATCAGCCTCTGATAATGGTCAGTTTAAGTTTGTTCCCCTTTGGGCCCATGACCTTTCGAGTCCATAGATGGCGGCCCAAGAAACCCATCTACGCAATACTTCCTTGGGTTCGAATTAGGCTACACCGCGGAGCTAGGACATGATCAAGGGAAACTCGGAACAAGATAACCCAAAGCAAGGCCATCCTAAAAAACTGCGAAAGGACACACGTCCAAGGGGACAAGGGAACACAGTCAAGTGGCTCTGATTAATAGTAACTAACAAATAATAGAGACGGATCAAAGACAACAGTCTTCAGATAGTGAAATCAAAAATATTTGGGATCATAGTGCCAGGGTGGAAACATATATAAAGGGGATCACCGGGTCAACTAAAAAAGACGAATGGGATCACCTTAGTTATCGATAGTATAAATAATTGGGAGTGCTACAATGCACGTATAGAAAGATACCAGTAAGTCAGCAAGAGAGAATCTGAGTGATATCCTATAACAGCTTCATGCCTGCTCTCTGTAACAGTCACCATCTTACTCAAGTAATGCAATCCCCAAAAGAGTAAGAGTCTCACTTGTAGCGGACGTAACCTTAATCTTTTGACTTAAGTCTCGTCTTCTCTTCATTGTTCATTTAGAGCATACACCTTCGCACACTCCCACTTAAGCAATCGCCACGCACATTGAACCTCACCTCATTCTGTTCTGTGACCCAGGTCCATTACTTTCGAGCACCATCAGCCCCATTCCTTACACAATATTTTCTGCTTCTTTCAATTTTCTGCAAACTGTTAATACTATCCCTAAGCATTTTCTTAGTGTTAAGCCACTCATCAAGCTTCACAATCTCCTGTTCTAGTTGCTGAGATCTTTCCCAATATGCTTTTACAGCTGCTCGGCCACCATCGAGACAGTGGTCGTGAGAAAGTGGTTCGAGGAGGGAGGTTGGTGGTTTCCTCGAGATGATCCGATTAGCTTGTATACAATGACATTGATCGGAACATGCGAAATAGCGTCGACATGACCGATAAAGTGACTTCAGTGCTGAGCAATTGGTTGACACAAATTAGAGGAACTGGTGAACTGTGGTTCTTGTTCTTGTTTGGCATTGCCATTTTCTTGTTGGCTGGTGTAAATGGTTGATCAAAGATCGAGATAAATGGAGTGGTTATGGGTAGTGTTGGTTCATAGTAGGAGTCTTAGGTTTAGATGTTTGAATTTTTGAGAAGTGTAGAGCCCTATCTAACCCAACGGTCACAGAGCCATGGTTTGAGGAAGCATTGCATTGTGTTTTGGCAAAAAGATCCTTTAACATACGAAAGGGGCATGCAAGGGAGAGAGAGAGGTTCACTTAATTTCTATTTAATTCCCCGGTATATTTCTTCTATTAAGTTCAAGTGGAGAGAGAAATAAGAGAGCCAAAAGAGTAGTTTGAAATTGAAAAGATATCCTTTTGTGTGTTTGAGTTGAGCTCCAGCGCTCAAGCCTAGTTCAATTGTGAATATTCGAGCTGACTTGAACTTATATAAATTTGTGCTAAATTCAGCTTGACAAAAGTCAGCGAGCATTTAAACCAATTTCGAATTGAAAATAAGCTTAATTTTTAATAAAAATTTAGCATAAAAAATCTATAATAATAAATACAAAGAAATTTAATATCTCAACAAAAGTCTTCCAAAATCTATGTAGTCAACCATATAATTAAACCCCATAAGTTAAAATTCTGAAGAACTCTATTAGATGACAGAAAGGGTGAGAAAAGTATATAATGTTTGCAGATATTTAAGAACAATTTCGGATAATGTTTGATGTCTATCATACCCATTTTACCTTTACCAATAAAATTATAAATGAATAAAAAATGCATAAGAAATTAAGAAGAGAAATGCATATCCTCACAAATTCATTTTTTTTTCTCAATTTTACTGAATTATAATTTATCCACCATATATCGGTGAGAGACACATTTATACAAAGTTGGTTCTTCTCAAGTTACTAGTGAATGGTGACTGATGCAACATTAAGAAAGTTTGAAAGAAAATACATTGGAGGAAATCTATTTTCAAATGATAGATATCTTATTTAGTTTATTAGGCTAGAATTTATCTTTTGGTGTGTAAACTAAATTTAATTATATCGAATTTTTAATATATAAAAAATTCCTCCGTGTTTTTAAAAAAATTACATGCGATCCGTGCGAAGGTATAGGGGTCAGACCATTGGTGTGTTTTTATGTTTGTTACTGAGAATTTTGTGGTGTTGTCTATTAGTTTTGAATTTCAAATTTGTGAACCAAACAATTTGAAATATACCTATCATTTATCTTAAGCATTAATTTGGTAAGTATATAAATTAGATCGCAGTAATTAAGTTTTACATAGTCGTTACCAGGTTTAAGAACATGTTCGTTATGAGTTATGTAATTTTGAATTATGTTTGGTTTTACGTACGTGGAAACCTGTGATGGCGTATATATACCATCTTCTCAATTAAATGTTAATGTACTTATCTCGTGGGTATATATATTCATATAATGTACTTGAATGATCGTGTATGTTGTCCATTGTATATGATATATTGTGTATATATGTAAACACGTATATATTAATTGTGTACTTATGTACAGTTGGGATTTCGGATGATCGATGTCCTTTTGCATGCGATCTTGTTTGGCGTGTGCTTCATTGAGAAAACTTGTAAGTATTTTTATGTTATTTTGTGTTCGTTGCTCCCTTTATTGATCTATTTTTTTTTGGGCTTCTATTCTGGTTTTTCGATACGCTATTTATAAAGATATTTCCATGAAGTAGATGAAGATGCTTAAATGTATGTTCGTTATAGTGTTAATTGCATAGTTAATTGAAGTGACGTCTATTCAGACGTCTCATTTCAATGTATCTATTTTAAAGATACATTGAATTCTGCCATTATTAGTAAATATATCTTAATGTACTTGCGAAACATCAGTTAATGGATACATTATCGAGAACATGTCATCTTTTTTTAGTATACCTATCTGACGATTTGTGTTTATAGAAAAGAAGATATTATGATGATGTATTTTTTTAAAATAGGTGTTTCAATTACGTGATGATATTATCGTTATTTTTACAATTTTAAAGGGTGTTAGTTCCGTTCATTAATTTGACTTTTCAACAGAGAGCTAATCCAAAATTAAATTGACGAGAGAATTTTTTCTAATCTTATTGACCCTAAGTACAGCCTCAAAAAAAACTCAATCTTATTTTAGGAGCAGCAACTTTAGGGCTAAACAAGAGAAACCCAAATGCCAAAGAGAAGCCCAATGGAAAAGAGACACCAATATACCAAAAAGAATCCCAATGGAAAATGACCAACATTGTGACTTGTAGCAACACTAGAGCCCTAAACTGCTGCTCTATAATCTGATGGATCTGTTAACAGGCCCATTCGTATACCTCATGGACCTAGTTATTTTCTGAAGGGAGCCAGCCAGTCTAGTGGCTCTTCATATTCCTTTAATTCTCCTATTAAATTCTTTGGGTTCTAAATTCTTTTAGACTCTTTTAATATATCAACATCTCTATGAATATCTTTATCTATTCATTTCTTAATCGAGAAATAAAAAATTAATTGACAACAAATTAAATTTCCCTTGCATTTAAAACCCAAAAACAAGAAATTTATTACTACAGCTACTTCATATTTATGGTAATAACAAATTAAAAACAATTAGAAATCTAGTAGCCACTTGGCTTTAGACTCACAACATGCTATTTCATGTTTTGTTTGGTACGAAGGAAAAATATAAGAATAGAAAGTTAACTAAGAAATTAATAGATAAAGATAAAAAATTATTTTTAGTAAGAAAGAAAAATAAGATGGATGAAAAAGTAGATAAATTAACTTTTTTTCTAACTCACCAAAATATATCCCTCTAAAATTAGGAGTAAAAGAAAATGAAAATTTAATTATGGATTTTGAAATGTATGTTATTTACCTTTAAATCTTGTTATATATGCATATATCCTATTTATCTATTGTTAGATATTGTGTACTTATTAATTTTTATATAAAAACAATGATAAAACATATAACTATATTTTTTTTTATCTTTCTATTTTTCCATCCTACTGGGAGAATAGATGGTTCGGAAATGATGTTCAACCTTTTGTATTAATTTCTTATGCTCATGAATTGTTATATTTTGTAAAAGTGCATATTTTACATTTTGTTTAACTCAAGTGATTTTTTTTTAGATATGAAAATATTGTTATGTTTTTTGAAATATTAATAAAATTTATTTTTGTGTTTATCTATATATTGAATTGGATAGTTGTACGGATATCAATAGGTCTTTGGTTCAATGGTACTTCTTACATTCTGAAAACTTTGTCTTCTTGAGGTCAAGGGTTCAAGCCTCCTTCCATTCCAAATAAAAAAAGTTGTACATATAACATTGGGTACCAACATTCCATAATAATTAAAAAAAAATTATTTTTTTTTGTGGCGGCATCATTGCTGTCGTAAATCAGATATTTTGTGACAACTTATTTACGACAGAGTATTGCTGCCGTAAATACTATTTGAGATAGACAATTGCTGCCGTAAAAACTTTTTGATACCACACTTATTATGGCGAATGTCACTACAATGCCGCCACAAAAGGTATTTGTGACGGCAAATAATTCTTTTTTGACAGTATTTTACCGCCGTAAAAATTCCTTTTTCTTGTAGTGACAATTCTTTATAAAAAGGTAAAATAGATAATCAAAAAAATTTTATGTTAAGATTTTTTTATTAGTAGTATATAATATATGTATATATTATTGCTACTAAGAATATTTAAAGGGTTACATCTTCTGGCACTCGATCCATCCAAAGTAAGATCGAAGCAATGCACAAGAAATGTAGCAAACATTCAACTGCACGCTTCTTCAATCGCCTTGGTCAACTAGCCCGAACCCGAGCACGTGAGACCTCATTAGCGTATGATTATAATAGTTACGCAAAACAGCAAATAATTTACTAAGGGATATAAGTATGATTTATAATCCTTGATTCACGAGTTGTTGTTCACCTTCAACCCGGCAAAACCCTAATCTTTTCATCATTAAATAACATATAGAACAGTTGTTTTGGTTGCTAAGGTACTTATATTCCAAGTCAGTCAAAGAAACACATCAAGTAAAGTTATATAATAGAGGAAGAGAGTATATCCATGAAGTGGAAGGCAAGTGGTGTGGCCGACATGAATAGTATAAGGGACAAAACAAAAGGGAAACAAGGATTGAGACTGAGCTCAAAAGAAACTAAAGAAGGTCCCCCCATACAAGTTTAAAGGAAGTAAAGAAAAGGAAAAGGGATGATCTCTTTTGCAGTATCATTAGATTTGACTAACAACTTGTTATATGTAAGACAATAGCCTTTCAATTTATAGAGGTTGATTTAATTGTCGAACAAAGGATGAGAAATAAACTATTGAGTTTAAATATGCCAGATAACATGAAGTAGGGGGCTGAACCCCGATGGGTGTGCCTCACTAGTAATTTCATGTTTGCAAAGTATGTGTTGCGGATAGGAATTAAAAGAACACGTGATTGGGATAATTTCTTATAAAGAAAAAAAGACATATCTTTTCAGGATTTGGCATGTGCTAGAGACCATATTACTTAGATGGGGATATCTGACTGTCTTCTTAGAGGACAAAAGCTTTAGCTATGCTAACTTAATGAAGAATCCAAACCACTTGGGTCAACATCCTATAAAATTCTTATGGACAAATAGGATTGTCTTTACATTACGTAACAGAATTGGGAAGCAAACCTAGTTGTCTTGATGCACTAAGACAATCCACCTTAATTTTAATGGAGTAGGTTAATGGTGAAATACAGTTCACTGTGTTTGCAAGTAGAAAAATAATCTAATATGAGGTAGAATGGTGAAGTAAGATCTGCATATCTCACTCAAATTGGGCGAATGTTCTGAAAAGTCTATTTGAGTAGGTTGAACTTTTTTATCCTCAATTTTTATCACTTTTTTCCCATAGTGTTTGGGCATCTTTGATCATTCGACTAATCTTATAAGCATCTGTAATCGTTCGATCTAACTTGCATAGGAAGACCACCAAAATATAGCCTAAAGTTGGCTCGAGAGAAGACTCGAACTCAAGACCTACAACTTTGTGAAGTTGGCTCTTATAGTCCACTTATATCCTCTTTAGGGTGCTTAATTGATCAAAGGAGATGAGGTTCAATCTGCCTCAAACTAAAACTGGACCATGAATGAGTTCAAGATTGAACCTCCTTATAAGTGCATATTGTTGTGTTTATACAGACTGACAAACCATGAATTGTGCAAAAAAAAGAAAAAAGGAAAAAGAAAGAGATAATTGACTTCCTCAGCTCCGGTTGGAAAAGTACCTCTCTAATGACCGCCCTAGCAAACCAAGAATGCACTTGGTGGATACATTCTTAGAGAGTTTTTTTTTTTTTTAAATGTTTTTTTTGGGGGGAGGGGAGGGGGATGGAGAGGGGGAAAGGGGGTTTGAACTCTTAACCTTAAGAAGACAAAGTTTTCACAAGATAAGAAGTACCATTAGACTAAAGGTCCGTTGGTATACATTCTTAGAAAATAATGCTAGACTGACAAAAAATAAAACTAATTGAAGAAACCCACCATATGATACTAATTAAGTAATGTCTTGGTTTGGCTCTTGATTTTTGAACCAAAAAATTGAAGCTCTTTTAAAAGTTTAACTAAATGAAATATTAAATTTCATTCTGAATTTCGGTTCTACGAACTTGTTAGTTTTTGGTACGAATTACTTTTTTTGCTTAGGAATACGAATTACTCAGTCTCTACATTAAAGTCACATCATTTTTTTCCCTTCATTTGAAAGATATTTTTCGATCAATCAACCATTACTATACATCTGGGTTGATCTTGAGGGCTTGATGGAAGGTTGTCATGATATATAGACTAGGTATACTGCCAGCACCTAAAAGACATTGTTAGTGCCATAATGCATGCAAAGACAAGATCTGAGACCTTGACTTTTTCTTCTTATTTTTGTCCCTTTTCGTCGAGCATTTGACAATTCTTTGCTCAACTTGCTGTTGTTTGTTAATTCGATTAGTGTAAACATTATGATCAATGACACCTATAGCAAGTTGATTATTAGAAGTAAGCTTAACATTTGATCAAAAAAATAAAGAAAAGTAAGCTTAACAACTTTTTTGTTCGAACGTGCCCACATAATTGTGTCATTTGGCAAACAAGAGTGTAAACTCAAGCCTAAGTTTAAACACATACCCGTTCTTGATTTATTTTATTTGGCGAGCCTAGTATAGATATTGAAAAAATTAGTTTATTTGGCAAGCTTTCAAAGATTTTTCTGAACTTCTCATGGACCCTAACCTATCAGAAACCGTCTTTGCAAATTGTTAAGCCATTAATCCTTCTAAAAGTTTAAATCGATAAATAAAATGTAATAGTAATGCTAGATAGACTTAAAAATTAAACTTAAAAATTAGACTTGATAATCTCAACCATTGAATAGGTAGTGGGTCCCAATAAATACTGGGACCCACAGTAAAATCAATGGTTGCGATTATCAAATCTATTTTTTAAGTCTAATTTTTAAGTTCACGTAACATTGCTAAAAATATAAATAATTACACACTACCATACCCCTCTTCACATGCGAGTTAAAATCACCAACTCTTCAAAAAACTGAAGCTAATGAAGGTACTTGGAAAAAGACAGAAAAAATTATTTTTGTGAAAAGAAATAATGCACTTGTTATAAAACCTAAAAGCTATTTTTGCTTTTTATCATAAATATGATTATTGGCAAGAAAATAATTAGCTGTTTATTTTACAACACGATTGTCAATCGATTATATTCAAATAAAAACCCTCTCATCAAACAGTAATGTAGATTTTGAAAAACTTAGTTTACGAGATCCTATCATCTAACTCAAATAAGTTAAGTTCGATGTATTCGATTTATATATCTCTCTTATTTTCTTAAATTAGAGTTATTTTGATTTGATAAAAGAGCATCGAACGAGCATCATGAGTGAATAAAAAAATGAAAAAATTTTAAAAAATTAAAAAATTAGAAATGAAAAATTCAGAAGTATGAGCTAGACCTCATTGTGAAGGCCTCCTCATAGGATCCCTTCGTGACCAACAACAAGTTCAAATATTAGACAGTCAAAGCAATGGTCAAACATGAGGGCATAGTGGTGGGGGGTAGGATCTAATATGCGCCGAAAGGTACAAAGGACACAAATAATCCAAGGGGGCCGGCAAATAGAGACAAGAACAGACAGGATTGGAATTGAATCTTTGAAGCCTGAAAGGGACACCCAAAAGCCTCAAGGCAAACAGCACGATAAGTTTTGTCTTATCTCTTGTTTGTATAGCCCTGGTAATAGTGTAGTATACTATTATTATTCTCGATCTAAAGTTTGTTATCTCACTTTTGGTTAATAAGCGTATGACCCCCACTCAATTGGGAACTTAGAACTTTTGCCAAGTATAAGAGGGGAATCTAAATTAATACATCAGGAATGTTACGGTGATTAAATTTGAGGATTAAATTTAAAGTTTAAATGATATTACAATTGACTTAAACTTCTTTTTTTGGTATCATGTTATTTGGATCCCAATAAAAACTCTAAATAATATGCTATCATGTAATTTAGACTTTAAATTTGATCCTAAAATTTTATCAGTGTAGCATTACTCTACATATTAAGAGTAGCATTACTCTTAATACATAGTTATTTAGTACAAATTTTGCTCTAAAGAATGTCATTCACTTGCAGGAATATATTTTTTTTAATTGTTTATATATTATTAGTTAGTTATATCATATAGTATTGTTGGCCTGATCAAAATTTTTAAAATAGAGATCCTATCTTGGATCGATGGAGGAGTTTACAAGATCAAAATCGTAAGATCAAATCGAAAATTGTAGGATCCGATCAACTGAAAAAATGAGACAAAAAATACATATAAAAATACAAAATTCTCAAAAACAAGATTTGAACAAACCTAATATCTATGCAAATAAGAATTTTATGATAAAGATCAAATTTAAGGTATGATTACAATTTTATAAATTATAATTTGAATATTAAAGAAAATTTAAGATCAAAGACGAATTGTTAATCTTGTGAGGGTGTGCAATAGAGAAATAAAAAAATTTAAATATTTTTATTTTAACTTTTAAAGAAGAGATAAAAATAGAGACTAGAAAGTTAAAAAAATATTAGATAATAATTTTTGACCATTTGACATTCAAACACAAAAGAGTAAAAGAAGAAATTAATTAAGGAAGAATTTAATTCCTTAAAGAATAAAAAATTAATAATGACATGTGTGCACCACCTTTGTACACCGCATTGTCTACACCACATGGTGTAAAATGATCTATATTTTTTAAAATATTCAATGAATTCAACATAATTTAGTAATATAATAGTTCATATTGATATGACACACAAAGATAAGATAATGTATTTATTACTAATATATATATATATATATCAATTTCATTTTTCTTCTAATTTCTCACTTCTGCTCTTATACTATATCATTTATCCCGCAACAGAGTACGCACGTGTGTGTGAGAGAGAGAGAGATTAACCAAGGATTACAAAAGTACTTTCTTCTCATTATGCAAATCATGTCAGTAAAAGAAGAAAAGTAAAAGAGAAAGAACCATGACCGTAACAAAACTTCAGTTAGTACTGTCAGTCAGCACTGCTAGCAACCCAGAAATGATTGTCAGCCCCATTCTCACCCCTCCCTCCAAAGTAAAGCTTTGACCAATCCACTATTGCATGTAAAGCAATTAAACAACATTCACCCAAGTCTCTCACCATTCTTTAATCACATCTGAGCTCATTCCATTCCAAAAATTGGTGTCTGAAACACTGACAGAGTGGGTTTCACAGTTTGGAACTGACGAAGAGATGGTGAAACCCAATTACCAAAAGTTGAGCCTTCAAAAGTGGTAGTGGTGGTGGTGGTAGTAGTAGTGTTGCCATTTAAAGCAATGGGTGTGGCAAATGGAATTGAACTTGAAGTACCACTGCTTTGTTGCTGGAGGTACCCACCATTGAATAAACCATTATTGTTGTTGGTGATCTCATTTGTTGATGATGTTATTGGGAAATCTATGCTGAAGGGTGTTGAACCCTGATAGACTCCACCATTGTTGGAAGCTTGAAAGAGGCTAGGGTTTTTGGTATTGTTCAGAGAAGAGTTCTGGTACCCAAGGATTGACCAAAAGTCTGATGGTTGGTCTTGTTTCATAGCCATAGATAATAATCCAAAGCTCAGCTTAGATGTCGAGGAGGGTTGTGATGTGAATGTTACCGACGAAGCCGAGGAGAGATCTTTATCGTCCGATCGGCTTCCATCTATACTCTTGTTATCGGAGCCAGATTCTGATGAAGTTTTGGGTTTGGTCATGCCTCCGACGGGAAGATTGCTATTCGCAATGCTCTTAACGTCGTACCGGCTCATGTCAAAGTTGGTCACGGCATTTAGCCCTCTAAACTTGATAGCAGCAATATCATAGGCCTCTGCAGCTTCTTCTTGGGTGCCTGTTTAACAATTAAACTCATCTTAATATGAACACAAATGATAAAGAAACTAAAAAAAAAACAATAAATGCTGTGCGTATTATTGAACTTGGCCAATGCTACATTAAATTGATTTTCTTCCTTTTTTGGCTCTTTTTTTATTGATAAGAATAATTTATACATTTATTATTTTGTTCTTTTATGTGGCAGGCTCCACAACAGACTTTTTGCGTGGACTTAAAATTCATACTTGATTAATATTTTTCATTGATTTAACGATTTAACTGTGCATCACAATACTTATTATCTATTTAATGATTATGATTGATAAAATCAATATATCAAGTAAATATTTTAAGTCCAAGTAACATTTTTTTTCAAATATTAACTTGTAGTGGGACCCTTTCATTTTTGCTTTAAGAATGAAATTTTACGAGCAAAAAATCTAGAGTGACACAAAATATGGACTAAATGATGAGACCCTAATATGTAGATAAGTTTGATCCAATTTTACTTAAAAGATTTAAATTTTATTTTTCATGGCTATGCCATATTATTTATTCTCCTGTCTTTTGTTCTTTTTCTTTCGGTGGAACATACATTTTTATGAATTACTATGACTGAAAGGATAAAAACATACCGAAGGTTCCAAGGTATAGATCTTTGTTGCCTGCAACTCTCCCTATCCTTGCTTGCCAACGACCATGTTGATGGTGCCTGAGAAGAACAAATTTACATCACAAGCTTAGATATTGGGGTTCTTTAAATAACAAATTAAAATAACAAAACCCTAAGCACTAAACGATAACAAAGAAAGCAAACCTTGTCACTCCCCTATAGATAGAGGCTCCTCTAGAAAACCCACTACTTTTCCTGCAGGTATGAGAATACTTTATTAATCCACTTCAAAAATTTGTTAAACTGATAGCAATTGACCGCGAGAAAAGTGAATAAAAGACATTCTAATTACCAGTTTTCCGAGTTTGAGAAGAGTCAAATACACAGTCTTTACTCATATTCAAAAATAATGAGAAGCTTGAAACCATGACACTTATGTCGCAATGAAAAGTAAGCATAAACTACAAGGTTATTACCTTCGAAGAGAGGCAACAAACTCCTGCCTGGTCATATTTTTCATATCCTCCAGTTCCTTCTCATAGTTACACACCTTAAAAATTAAGGTACAAATACAAAATCAGACCCAACTTGCATGATTTCCAAAACCATATAAAACTTACATGTTACTTACGCATGCAAATGGAATATATAGGCGGCAACACCGCGGCACATACCGGAAAGTTGGTGGTGGTGGTCGGACCCCAATATTTGAGAGCTGCAAGATCATAAGCTCTAGCTGCTTTATCCTCTTTATCATAACCACCTACAAGAACAAGAAAGAGAAACAAACGGAAACATATACACAATCAAAAAATGAGAATCCCAGGAGAATCTTAAGCCAGAAAGTGCATATAAATGCTCATGGAAGAAGAATCTTTTGTTATACAGTAATTTAAAATGATGGTTTTTGATTATTCTTCAAATGGAAAAGACTGAGATAGAGAACTCACCCAAATAAACTGAAAATGATGATTTTGTTCATCCGTGGGCACCAATCATTTCCCATGCATATGCCACATAAAGAAACAACATTAGCACATAATAGATTCTTCTCTTTCTGTACATATCTTAAATGCGCATTATAGCAAAAAACCACTGCCAGTGCCACGAAATCTATTACTGCGCCTGTGGTTTTCCAATACCACAAGATCTGAGCCTTTGCTTAGACCCATTTTTCTAGGGATTGTGAAATGTTTAGTCTGATCACACACATTTTCTGATCTCAAGAACTATATCTCCTGCCTGAAGTACAGGACATTAGCATTACACCACACCGGCGCACGTTAGCAAGAACACCATAAAACCCTAATAAGAGGAAAAAAAACCCCCACATACCTTGCCTTCCTTTCCGACTTTGGCCTTCTCTTCTGCAACTGTTGTCCCACAAATGAGCTTCATATCTACCAGTCCACCTATGCCTGTTCCCATGGAAGATTGCAAAACTCTCAAAAACTAAAACAAGTTAAATCAAAATATTATATTTAAATTTGATCTGAGAAAAAAAAAACCCTCATGGGATGTTCTTTTATCATTTTTGCAATTTTTTGGTTATTATTGTTTACCGGGTGACTCCTCTGTATATGGACGTCCGTTGGCCGAAGGTGTCAACAGCCTTCTTCGCAGGTGGCTCAGGCGGTGGTGCCACCGCCAACAGCTTCTGGTTGTTGGCTTGTTCGGAGGAAAACCCACGTAAGAAGCCAGCAGCTATAGTTTTGAGCTCGGAGTCATATACCTGTGTCTCGGACAAAGTCACCTGAGTTTCGCCGGTAAACAGAGATGCATCACCAGCCCCCGTGCCGGTGTTGGCTCTACAACCACCAAGAAAGTCCTCGAGCTTTGGGCCACAACTACCGAACATAGATAAGGCTGTTGAACTTGCACCACATCCATTTTCTTTAGGTCTATCAACAACCCCACCTACAATAGCAAAAATACATATTGACTATGTGTATGTACCTATATTTATTTGTGTATATATACATATATGGTGGGCATAACCACATATACAGATATAGCCAGATACACTCTTGAGAGAGAGAGAGAGAGAGAGAGAGAGAGAGAAAGAGAGATTACTAGGGTTGGTGCTGTTGAAGGCTTCGAAGAGGCAGAGCTGAGAAGAATCAGAGGGTATGTTGTGGTGGTTGGAAAGAGAGAAGGCAAGCCAGTTCTGAGAAGAATCCATATCCATGTTCGTCGGTGAGCGTGAAAGAGATGGGTTATTTGGGAAATAGCGTAGTCTAGAGAGAGAAACGGAGAAGATGGGTGTTTGAACCGATGAAGTGATGAATGTAAAATGTAAATGTAATGCAAACGAAAGAGACACAGATATAGAGGTGCAAGAGAGAGAAGGGGAGGTTGCACGAGCATCGAGGCCTCTCTCTCTCTCTCTTCTTTTTCTCCGTGGAAGGTAATGGTGTCGAAGAATTACTACTATTTATTAGGAGGCCATAAACCTGTATCTATTTTGCAGTGTATGTATATAATAATGCAGAGCATAGCAAGTGGAAGCATATCATGGGATGACTGGGCGGTCTCTCTCTCTCTTGACCGAAGAAAGCTACAACTTTAGAAAGAGCAAAAATATGTGTCTGTAAGAGAGAGAGAGAGAGGGGGAGAGAGATTGGGTGTAGGTAATGTAGGCGTGTGGGGAAGCAAGAGGGAGGAAAAGGGTGCAGGATGACCCATGAGGACGAGTTCGAAATCATTTCATTTGGTCCAAACGTGTGACGCGTGTCATTCATTTATTTTGTTCTTTCTTTCTAAAAGATAATCTTAATCTTTTTTCTACAAAAATAATCCTAATCTTATGTACACCTTCATGAAAAACGACGAGTGGGTTCAATACTATGTGTTTAATTGGCCTTAAAAAAATATAATTAAATCTGACCAACCCTTTAACATTTAATCTTACTTAGACCCCTACGACACTCGCGCATAATTTTTTTTTAATTATTATTTTATGTGAAATAATAGAAGTACATGTGTCCCAAAAAATAATACAAAGTCCTAAAGCACCTCTTGAGTTTAATAGAAAATTAATTGTATTTGGTCATATCAGAAAAAAGAGCAACTAGCGCTGGATCTGAATGATCAAGCAATGAAATTCCCCTTTGTCTGAGTTGAAGCTGAAGTGAATGAGCCAATAGGATTAGAAATTATCATGGCTTTTGTCAATTAACTGTAGTTACGTCTTTACTTAATTTTTTATGAGATAGAAGAGACGCTGTTCAAGTTTGGAGTCCATTTCAAAGGGGCTACAAAGCCTGTACTTGATAAAGGTCGCGACGTAATGTATTAAATCCGTAACCTATAACATCATTAATAGAGTTAGCACAAGTAGCGGCTTCAATAGCTTATAAAGTGGTTTAAAATTTTTGATTTTTTTTTATAAAATCACTTGAAATGAAAACCTTAGTGCTGTAAAAGATTTAATAAATATAACTTAAGTTATATTTCAGGAATATCTTAGTTTATAATTAATTTATATGAAATAGGAGTATATGTGTCCCAAAAAATTATACAAGTGGTTTAAAAAATCTGAAAATCTTTTTAGATTGTAAAATAAACTCCTCTAATATAATTAATATTACATTTATCAAATTTTTTATTTTAAATAATGTTGAAATATTTTTTATCATTAAATATCAGGATAAATTTCAACCATGCCCCCTATAGTTTATCATATCTTCAAGGACACCTCCTCTAGTTTCTGAATCTTCAATGACACCCTCTGTCAAATTAAAAATATTAAGTAAAATGCAATTTTACTAAATTGACCATGATATATTTGAGGACAAATTTTATTCACACTCCCTCTAGATAAATATATCTTCAATGAGACCCCCTCTAGATAAGTATATTTTCAATGAGACCCCCTCTGTTTTCTAATTTTTTTTTACGTAATTAAATTCAAATCGATTAAAATTAGATTCAAGTTAATTAAAATTTATTTTTTACATATTAAAATTTGTGCCAATTAAAAATTATATTTTTTTTACGTATTAGAATTTGGGCTAATTAAAACTTTGTTTGAGCCAATTAAAAATTATTTTTAATCGATTTAAATCAATTTTTAATTAATTCGCATTGAATTTTAATCAGCCTAAATTTTAATATATATAAAAATATATGAATTTTAATTGACTTAAATTTTAATAAATCTAATTTTAATTGACACATATTTTAATAAAAAAAAATAAATTATAATGGATTCGAAAGAGAATTTTAATAGGCCCTAACAACTCGGATAGAGTTCAAATTAGTTCAAATTTTAATAGGCTCTATTTTTTTAAAAAAATTTACTAATTAGTAAATAAAAAATTAGTATTTACTAACAAATTATTTACTAAAATTGTTATTTATAATTTTTTTAAAAATTTTAACAGCTCAAATTTTAATAAAATTTTATGTAAAAAAATTACTTGAGGTTATATAGGGGTATTTTTGGTATTTTAGATGAATTTATTTTGTTAGAAATAATAGTTTAATGGTAGGGGGTATTAGTGATGTTTAAATTAAAGTAGAAGGGGTGTCCTTGAAGATATGGTAAACTAGAGGGGGTGTTATTGAAATTTTTCTTTAATATTTTTAATTTGACAGAAGTGTCATTAAAAATTCAAAAATGAGAGGAAATTTCCTTAAAGATATGATAAATTACGAAGGATGTGGTTGAAATTTTTTGTAAATATTAAACAACCTGCATTCCTAGCTTAATTGGTAGGGCGACGAAAACAGGAGATACTTTACTCTTTAGGACTGGCACACTCGGGTACACATGTCTGTATGATACCCATATTTAAATGTCCAGTCCTGTCTAGTCCAGTGCCCTCAAGATGGTGCCACGGATACCGCTTAGATTTGGTTTCTCTGTCTTTTTGTATTTTTCGGCCATAAATGATGTTATGCTATGGGTAGTCAATGATTTAGGGTTTAAGTTTTAAGGGTTTATTATTTAAAATAACTTAATTCATTATGAGTTAATAACAAGTCTTACGTTGGACAAGGTTTATTACCACACATTTTCTGTACAGATTTTAATTGGGAAAAAAAATTATTTTAATATAATTAGTCTTTAAAAAAGAAAAATTGATAAGTCTTCCCACCGCAACTAAAAGTTATCATTATTTAATCTTAATTAATTAAGAAAATAGTTTATCTAATTAATTTAAACTCTTATAATCACTGTGGACTCTTAACAATTAGTTTTTATGTCATTTTTTATGTATCGAACCAAAAGAAACATTCTAAATCCATAGAGATAATTGAAAAAAAAAAACTTTAAAATATAATATTATTCAATGATCTACTCGCAGTACAAAAGAACAATATAAATAACAACTAAAACTCTAATCGTTCACAAAACGGCAGCAAAATCCTAAAATTATGAAAAATATTAAAAATAAGAAATACATAATTTTTTAAATTAACATAAAAATACGTATTACCTAGAATTTAATGAAACTGACATCACGAAATTTAGAATCTACATTAATTTATTATTAATTTTCAAAATATTTCCTAAAATGAAAAAAAAAATGAGTTTTAGGGACTTAAACAATGAAATTCGATCTAGAATTGAAAAAACTCATGAATGTTAATTGTGCGTGCAAGATCCTGTACAATATAAACACTAGAACAGATCCCTTCTGTGGTGAACACGTGTCCGTCAATCGGATAGTCGATCTTGCTACTTGAACATGTTGTGAGGGTCGAAGGTAGCCCAAGGTGGATAATGAATCATTTTTATGAGTCGCCTGAGTGATCCTATAAGGTTAAAGGAGGTTAATGACACTAGATGAGTAAGACGAGGTCATGATGGCTAGTCTAGTTTTGCTTAGGCTAGTGATCTGTTTATTAATAGCCTCCGCAGGTGCAGAAACGCCCAAGCAGATAGATACCCCTCGGTGCCGAGGGACTAGCATGATTTAGGACCGATGTACCAAAACTGTCGAGAAATACGTGTCGGTCCATGGTAGTTTGGGGTCCTTGATCCCTGTGAATAGCATCCTCGGGGCAGAGGGTTAGAAACTGAAGAAGACATGTTGGTATCACAACAAGAGTCTCCATTAACGCCGAGTACACATGTCATCATCTAGGGGTGTCTGAAAATGTCCCATCAACTGCCTCCCAGCCTTCGATCTTTTGATGCCGAGGACACGCGTTGTAAAAAGACGAAAGGTTCTGCTTTCTTGTGTCTCTTGACACCATTTGAGTAAGACGAGGTCATGATGGCTAGTTTAGTCTTGTTTAGGCTAGTGATCTGTCTATCAATAGCCCCCGCAGGTGCAGAAACGCCCACGGGGATAGATACCCCTCGGTGCTGAGGGACTAGTATAATTTATGATCGATGTACCAAAACTTTCGAGGAATATGTGTCAGTCCATGGTGGTTTGGGGTCCTTAATCCCTGTGAATAGCATCCTCGGGACAGGGGGTTGGAAACCGACATAGTGATTTGGGGTTCCTGATCCCTGTGAATAGCATTCTCGGGGCCAGGGGTTGAAAATTAAAGAAGACGTGTTGATATTACAGCGAGAGTCTCTATTAACACCGAATACACGTGTCATCATCTAGAGATGTCTGAAAATGTCCCATCATTAATCGTTGGCCCGATTCAAATTACACACCATTGATCCTACTGAATTTCAAGTCTAACCAATTTTATCTCTACTTTTCTTTTTTGTCCTCTTGATGCGCTTTGAAGTTATGACGGTCAGCTTGTTCCAATTATTTTACAGTAATTAATAATCTCATACATCCTATAGAATTGAAACTACTAATAATATAAAAAGATTTACACCTCGCCAGAGAGAGAGAGAGAGAGAGAGAAGGCTTCAAATCCGGATAGAGTTGAAACTCCTTTTACCCTAAGCAACCAAAAAGAAGATGCAACAAGGGAGGGAGGGAGGGAGAGCAGCTGTTCCCAAGTCAAGAAGAAAGTAGATTGGCATAGAGTTCGGCGGGACTTATTATAATTATTATTTTAAAAGCATTTGAAAATTATTTATTTATTTTCCTTTACAGTTAAAAAGTAGTAATCAATGATTAAAAAATTACTATAATTAAAATACAGAAAGTAATGAGCTGTGTTGTTCTTCGTTTTGGTCTACGGTCAAACTATATTATGTTCTTTCAGTCAATAAATCATTCCTCACGTTCTTCCTTTCCTCTTATTTGTTTGTTTTTATTT